AGGTTTGACTATTTTTTTTCCAATTCTTTCGTTTCAGTCTTTTTTCTCTTGAACTCATTTCAGATACAGGTTTTACCTGTCCTTTTTCTTTTTTCTTAACGTATTTCAGTCTTTCTTTTTCGCGAAGTCTTTCTAAACTGGTAGGATCGCTCTTCATTTTTTCTCTACGTTTCCGATCATACTCTTTCTTTTTCAATTTTAGTTGTGCGTCAGTTAATTTCTTTTTTTTTGCCATTTTTAGGTTAATAAAGCCCTAAAACGAGAAAGCAAAGATCAATTAGCGTTAATGCAGCTAGAACACAAAAAGCAAACAAAGCGCACCGTTAAAATAATCATTCCCTCACTACAAATAAATATGAGGGAATGACGGTGAGGGAATGACGAAATCAAACATTACCGCCAAAAACGCACAACTTAACCTTTCTTTCGTATTGCATTTTATGGTCACGTTATAAGTTACCAAAACCAACGTCAACGTTTAATCATTAATTAGTTAAAGTTGATTACCTTATTTTTATAAGATGTGATGTAATGACGGCCAAAAATGTAACGTAGTAAATTATGAACGAAATCTTTTTTTAACAGAAACTACTTGCACGCACAAGATGAATTCGCCATAATGAATTATTGGCAGTACTGCCAACTGTCAAAAACAAATGGGTGCGTTCATGTAATACAAATAACACGTTCAAAAATGGACTGGGGACAAAGGTGTGAGGGAATGATTTTATTTTTTGGGACAAAATAAAAAATATGCATAAATTTAAATAATCTTTAATTTTTTTTTGTAATTATGAATATTTTAAGAAAACCATTTTATTTTAAACGATCGGTAAAACTATGACATTAAATTTAGCGAAATGTGTCAATTTAGCGACCATAGAGTATTTTAATCTGGAGTTTGGGACATAGTGAGGGAATGATTTTCGGATGTTTCCATAAGCAAAAGAAATATTAGATATCTAGTTTACTAGAAAGTCATATAGGTATTATGTATCCACTATAGCATATTTAATAACAAAATAATAATCATTGCTTAAATTTCGTAACTACTTAGAAAAAATCAATAAGGGCATGAATTTCGGAATTTCGTTAGAATTACCCATATGCATTAATTAAATTACAGCGTTTAATATAAGTTGTTTATTATATTACATATATATTTACTTTTTTTAATTATATATGCATATAAAAATATAATATATATTGTATGCACATACATTTAATTTTAAATAAGAAGTTATATTAAAAAGAAGTTAAATATTAATAATATTGTGTATTAATTTTTCCTACAAAATGTCTTATGTTTACTGAAAAAATATACTAAATCTAAAAAAATAATTGATTCAATATTTATAAGAAAATATTTATTTAAATTAAGAAAATATTTATTTAAATAATTGATTTCAATATTTACAAGAAAATATTTATTTATATTAAGCAAAAATATATTTGAATCAGCAAAATATACATGTATATTTTAATGATTCAAATATATTTTGGCTTAATATAAATAAATATTTTCTTGCAAATATTGAAATCAATTATTTTTTTAGATTTAGTATATTCTTTCAGTGTTCCAAATACTATTCCCATTGAATTCATAAAGTTTACATTTATGGAAATGGAAAAATACTATATGAATACTATATGAATATTATATGAATACTATATGAATATTATATGAATACTATATGAATACTATATGAATACTTTAAGAAGTTTTCAAGAATTCAATCATAGTGCATGTAACTTCCACAATCATTCTTATTGTATTCATCTATGAATTCCTAAAGAATTACAATATAAAAAAGAGAAAACTTAAAGATTACTGTTAGAATTCACTGTGCTATCTGGGGATATGCTAGTCTTTACCGGTGTATGTGATCCATTTCAATGTTTATTTTTATTTTATGCGACTTACCTAATCATTATTTTATTCTTTTTTAAGTTGACTAGCTATTATTCATTCACTTGTCCAATTACTTTTCGTTAAATATATATATATATATATATATATATATACACATTTTGCATTTCGATTCGCATATAAGTTATTTATCATGCGTTTTAGTTTATGAATTATATATTTTATTTTTCATTGCATTCTAATTTATATGTTATTAAACATTATTATTTGCGTTCAAATTTTATATGTATTATCTTGCGATTTAAGTTATTATTCGGGGCGAATGACGCGGTCAGGAATGGCCGACGCTGTAAGGCGTAAGCATAGACTTACTAGAATAGACTGCTCATGAGCCCTCATTATGGTGGTGGAGGTATCCGTCACTGAGAAAAGGATAACTGTCGTTAATATGAGTTTCTATCTCTTTCTAGTGAGCGTGATTTAGCTCACATCGATAATACGCATACTATCACTCACGCTCTGACACCGTTATTGGTCGTTATGCTTCCCCACTATTCTGCATTAGGAAGAGATAGAAACTCATATTAACGACAGTTATCCTTTTCTCAATGACGGATACCCCCACTACCTTCATGAGCAGTCTATTCTAGTAAGTCTATGGGCGTAAGCCTTACCTTCCGCCATTGGCATTCCCCTAGCTTCCTCCCTAGCATTAAGGCTATATCGAGGTGGCGTTTGAGTCGACAGTGCAGATGACGTGGCAGCCTATGATTGGCTGAGTGACGTGCAGCCTGTGATTGGCTGAAAGAGTGCGTGATCGAGGCGAGAGGTTTTTGTTTTACTGGTCTCGCGAGTGTAACTGGTTTGGACCAGTCAGTCTTTGTCCGGACTCAATAAGTATCGGTTCGATATACTGTGCGGTTAACAATTATCGAATATAATCGTCTGTAGCGCGCTGCCGTGGTTGTTCGTGGTTGTAATACGAAATACAGTATTGAACGAGTATTAATAATTTCCTTATTATTAGTGTGACTAAGATTTCCCTTAAGCTCTCTCTTCCTAAAATCCCGCGATTTCTTCCTAGCCCGCTCGACGACCCTTACACTCACTTGACTTCAGACGAGGACTTTTTTACTACTAATTTTAGTACTAGCATCCTTTCAGTAATAACAAATAAATATGGAGCAAACCATAATTACAGCAGTGAAACGTAGAAAAATGCAATTGCAATATTTCTTATCGATAAATTACGACAAAATTTTGATTTTTCATTTCCTTTATTTGTGGTCATATTTGTGGCCCTCCATCTTTACATAACCTTATTTTTATTACGAGAGAGGGGAAAATGCTTCTTACGCACGCCCCGCCCCCCGTAAGGCGGGGCAGTGTGGGACTCGGCCTATTTAACGGCCCACTGCCCATTAAAACCTCCTCTCTTTGCGTCTAATCCGGTGAAAGACTAGACTCCCGGGTGGTACCCGCTTGCGCATTACTCACCCGGGAGTCCTGATCTTTACATAACCTAATAGCTGTGTGACTACCTCTCACAATGAACTAACACAGAAGACAAGAAAAATAGCACCTGTTCTATCATGGAAATCCAACAGATCAATCAGCAAAGTTATAACTCAATCAGCAATGTCGCCAACAGCAAATCTGTAAAGATCCTTGCACAATGCTAGGGAACACGCAATAAGAATAGAAATAGTATCTATTCTCTTCTCCTATTGGCGAATATTTTCTGTTCCGCGTATTCATTGGTGAATCGTTTTTATTCCTTATTTCTATTGCCTGTTGCCTAGCATTGTGCAAAGGGCTTAACTGTGTGTCGTTTTTAACCTATCTCATGATATAGGTATTACCATCGACATATACACTGGACTGAGCATCGCGATAGACAGGCGAGCGCCCGCTGTATAGAGAGAGGTACTACATGGGAGGCCTATGTCTGTCTCTTTTGCTAGTTTCATTGGTAATTTTGTAGGTAATTTTCCCTCCTCGATGGGCATTAGGATCGATGGGCGATGGGATCTATAATGTATTTAAGTTTTTATCATCAATCCTAGGAGATCTTAAATGTGTGTGTATTTATAAATTATATGTTGCAGATTATTCATATACAATGGTACGCTGCTTAGTAAGTTCAGTAAGGTTTATAAATTTATAAGCAAGCTTGAATAAAAGTTTAAAATTCGAAATAATTGTTATCAATAGCCCTTTTATTATAGTTATTATTTATTATTTTATCATAGTCATTACATAGAATTTATTATTATTTAAAAAAAAAGAAAAAAAGGTTGATTTATTGACATTATTGATTTATTAACATAAAATAATAAATTCGATATATGTTTTTTTTATAAAACACATATAGCTATGTATAATACAAGTAGCCAGAACACATTATTTTATTTCTAGACTGATCGTTTTAGATATATTTTAAGCTTAAATCTTGTTTTCGAGATGTTCTTCATTACTGTTTATTATCCAAAACAATATCTTTCCATTGTATTGAAAAATATACTTTTACTTTCCTTTTTTAATTTCTTATTTCTTTTTTTTTAATTATTTATAAGATTAAAGACATCAACATATTTCGTATTAAATGTCATTGCGCGCGCGCATCATTTCATCCAATGAAAAATGCTCATAGTTTATCTCGTCGCTTCTTCCGCAGTGGCTTCACCTCCCTTGTCTAAATATTGGGTTCATGCTCCATTCCTATCTTAAGGCCGCAGCACACACTTTTACATAACGCATAATGTATAAAGCATAAGGAAATCAACCAATCGAAGTCCTTCATTTCCATCCTCTCTTCTCATTCTGCGGATCTCACATAGTGCACAAAGCATAATGCATAAATAGTCGAAAAATCCATAAAGATGAATTCTTACGTTATGCAAGCAGATCTCAAGAAACTACTATGTCTTATGTACTAATTTTTCTAACCTATTTTAGGAGATTTCAACTAGCAAAGGAGATTTCATTTAGCAAATCTAAAAAAGAAAATAATATTGGTCAGTATTACAAAGTCTTAATTTTATAAATATTTTTCATATTTATATATATTTTGATATTTATTTATAATCAAATTAATTATGAATATTTTATATATCATTAGGCTATTGAAATGGATCATACTTTTTATTTTTATGATTTTCAATATCAAAATGATTTTAATGAATTAAATAATGAAGATGATTCACAAAATGAAGAGGAGAATTCTTATGGAGTAGATCAAAATGGAATAGCTGGAGATGCTTTGCTCATATCTTTAGTGCGCAACTATTCCTATTTATATAATAAAGAGTTAACTGACTTCAAAGATATTATTAAAAAGCAGAATGCCTGGACAGAAATAGGAAATATATTAAATATGACAGGTACATAATATTTTTCTACATTTGTTTTATTTTTATAAATTTATAAGTCTTTTAACAGAATGAATGATATATAATTTTAAGATGTTTTTTGTTCAGTAGTAGTTTTGTCTTCTGTAATATACTGTAATAAATTGTCTTGTGTTTCAAATCTTAAATATTTTTACGGAAATAATTTGCAAGAAATAATATGTATAAAAACACATAAAAGTATCAATTTTACTGCTACAATTAGTAATAATAGATTAATAATAAGAGATAAATATTGAAAAAAACATTAATATAAAATTAAAAACATAGTCCATGTTTGATCAAAACTTGAGACCTTACTCATTTTATTAAGGTTTCATAGATTATAAGCAATTTAATGTCATTTTCATTGCTAGCGCACGAGTGTCAATCTAGGTGGACACGATTAAGAGAACGATATGCAAGAGAGAAAAAGCAAAAACAGGAAGAAACAACTACTGGAAGTGGTGCTTCAAAGAGGAAGTCTTTTGAATTTTTTGAAAATATGCAAATCTTAGAACGCTTTGTTAAGAGAAGAAGGTAATAATAATAATAAAATTTGAAAAAATCTATATTAAATAAATAATAAAAAGTATTTTTAGTTTAATTGTAAGACAAAAAAAATACTTTATGACTATATTTTATATTCTTCTTACAATAGCATTTTTTGTATAATATAAGTGATTTTTGACAACTTTTTCTTTTTTTAGAACAATATTCAATATGTATAAGAACATACCTCCATCAACAAAATGTATCGATCTTCAAAAGTGTTTAAAATATTAATTGTAATATTTATTTAAAATGAAAAGCGCTTCTATATCAGGAATAACATTACAATTTTCTATTATAGAAATTTTGGTTCATGTGGCAGAGAAAACTCTACTTCTTCAATGATCGAGTCTACTTTAATTTTATCATCTTTAAAAGATAAGAGTGAAAAAACAGATTCAGAAAAAAATATAATTAAAATAGATTTATCAACAAAATTTCATAAAAGACTTAAGGAACCAACGCAAAGGTAAAAGATGCGGAAATAAAAACGGTTATATTAGTATAATAACCTGATAAAACTTTTATTTAAATCAAGTGACAAACGCTGCGTTTCGACCCAATTCGGGTCCTTATCAATGTCAAATCGCAAAATACCAGTAAGCAAAAATAAATTCAATATAACGGTCATTAGTAATAAGTGATGGAAAGACGCAAAACAAAATAAATAGTGATAAAAGAGTCAAAAAAGTCAAAATCAAATACGCAAATAACGGGCGAATTTAAACGCACAAAAAGCGCAACGCAATGATAAGCAAACCCATGATCCAAATTCTTGGTGTGCCATGATAAAAACCATGCCGCTCCACCCTCGAAAAACGCACGCCGACAAGAAAACCCAATCACCAGGTCCACAAACATCTCATTAATACAAGGCAGTCAAAGATGCCTACGTCGATGACCAGCCGAAAATGCAGTGGAGCCTAATGTGTCCTGATTAAACCTTGATTAGGGTGGCATACTATAAAAGAAAAAAACAATAAAGAATGTGTGAACCCCCACTAAATGACATGAGAAACCCCCAAAAGTTAATACGGGAATCAATTTATCAAAATTTAAAGAATAAAAAAGTTATAAAGAATAAATTACAAAAGTAAGACAAAGAATAATATAATGTGAAACAATTAGAAATAGTTAAAAATGCGTACCCTTCCCTAAAGTGAAGGTAAGTAGAATACGGAAATCCTTCGAGGAGAGAGCAATATAGGCACGACACAAATTCTCTAATCGACAGCGCCGGACTGAGTGATACGCGAACGCAAAGAGGCGATGCAAGATCCCGAAAAAAAGAAAAGAGGGGGAAAGGAAGAGATCCCCATCAGGATGAAGGATAAAGAAATGATGAAAGGTAACATTTCGAAGAAATCATTACGAGAATTTCTTTATAATTGGCAAATATATCTTGTCAAGGAACTCCGTGTCACTCTGGATGTTGATACCGTGATTCTGATTAGAAATATGTAACATTTCTGCAATTAGTCTTTTTGTATCCCAGTTCTTCTTCCAAAATGGAAATGTTCGCCCAGTCAAATTCATGGCCCTCCATTCTATGAAGGGACACAACCGAGAGAGACCCCGATGTCTTATTGATATCAGAGCGGTGTTCCTTGATCCTAGTTATTAGTTTCCTCTTCGTCTGACCCACATAAGAAGCATCACAATCTAGACAGCTGATCTTAAATAACATTGGAATGATGGAGATCAGGTAAAGGATCCTTATGTAATCTGACGAAAGAATTCAGTTTGTTGTTCACAGAGTAAGCCAATCTTCTACTCGTATATTTCTTGATATTCGAAATGAAATTTCTGGGAAAACTTGAGGAAAAAGGAATGGTGAAAAAAGGAGAAAGAGTAGGAGAGGAGGGGGTATGGAGATGCAAGTCAGCGTCATTGCTCTTAGTAAAAATTAAAAACTTGAGTCTTTGAGTAATCGTTTGAAAAATGAAATGTATCGGATAACCATTGTTCAATAAAATTGAAATGATAAAAGAAAAATTATTGTTATGAAAACGCGGATGTGAAAGTCTAAAAATCCTGTCAGTCAAGCCGATAACCACTCCTCTTTTATGTGACAGAGGGTGGTGTGAAAAAAATGAGAGAAATCTCCCTGAAAAAGTCGGTTTCCTGTACCAATTGAATTCAATATGATTCTTGTTAATGTTAATAGTAGTGTCCAAGAAAATAGATTTAACTGAAAATAGATTTAAAAAACGAATCAATAAATCTTCTATACCTAATAGTTTAGTTCAGCAATCTTTAACAAACGATACAGATTTGACACATAATATAAAGTAAATATTTGCATTTATTTTGTTAGTTTGCCATAACTTTCATTTATCCTAATATTATTAATATTATTTGGTGCAAATTATATACATGCACACATAGACAAAGATTTATAATATGTGTTACGTCCGGTGGACTTCACGATTCTTTTCTTTCATCGAAACGCTATCTTAGAAGTAATTAAAGATAGGGCTCGAAATTGAAATAAGCAAACGGAACCTAACTCGCGTAAATAAATAGTAAGTCTAAACACTGAGAGTGGCCAATCGAAATAGCGCTAAAGAAAACCTAAACAAATTTTTGAATTATGAGACTCGGAAGTATAAGAAATTCGAACCACTCGTATCTATGGTTATAACTTGATTCATCTTAGAGAATTTAAACAAAAAGCCTGTGGTCCTCAAGAAATTGACCAGAGGTAAACATAAATTAATATTGCACGTGCGCTCGTTCGACAGGCCATTCTCAATCATCAAGCGATAAGATAATCAGCTCCTCGCTCCCACTCTCTACTGGATGGAGCTAAATCTCGCGCAAAAGGGCTTAACCAATTAAAACCTTAAGACACTCCTCTCTTACTGAAAATCTAACTCCTTGGCCCTAAGAAGGGAGTAATAGAAATCATTTGATTCGATTTTCAAAGATTCCCACCATCCAGAAGGGAGGAGGAGCAAAAACTTTAAAATTCATGAGCCGAAAACGCGAACACACAGTTAGTCTCAGGATTTTTTTTCTGGTTATTCTTCTCCGCAAACAGTCAGAGTTACGGTTTAATTGAGTTGCAAAGCAGTCAGTTACAAGTTACAAATCAGTGATAGTTACAAGTGCAGTTGAGTATCAACCTCAGACAACATCACCGATTTGACGGGCAACCAGTTGGCCTACAAATTCACGCTCCGGCCTGAACCAGAAACTTTTATTTGTCGACGCACTCAATAATTAGTAAGTCTCATCTGATTATACTCCCTTTAACCTTCTACGATTAAGTTGTCATTGGGAAAGATATCTTTTTTTTTATTTTTCTTTTATTTTTAAAATAATCATCTTCATTTCATCCTCATTTCATCAAATCAACTATTTAAACTTTCTTCTCTGGCTCATTCCTTTTTCTTAATCCACTTTTATACAATTCCCTGTTCGTCGAGAATCTCCGCAAGGCGGTTCACGAACAATTCCTTGTTCGTCGAGAATCTCCGCAAGGCGATTCACGAACAATTCCCTGTTCGTCGAGAATCTCCATAAGGCGGTTCACGAACAATTTCCTGTTCGTCGAGAATCTCCGTAAGGCGGTTCACGAACAATTCCCTGTTCGTCGAGAATCTCCGCAAGGCGGTTCACGAACAATTCCCTGTTCGTCGAGAATCTCCGCAAGGCGGTTCACGAACAACTCCTCGCTCACCTAGAATCTCTATAACACAGTGCACAAATAATTCCTAATCTTAATTAAATCTTCGAGAGCCGATTCTTCTTTCGACTCCTTTGAAATTCCAACTATTTTTGAATTCATTTCGAACTATGTTATTTCTTTTATTTTCTATATATTAATACTCTCTTAATTATACAGGGTGATCCAAAAGTATGGAAACGGCCAAATAACTGTGGAGGAATGCACTTTGGAGAAAAAAGTTTGAGACAAAAGTTATAGGATTTTTCCCGGGAAATCCGACGGTGACCTTAGATTTGACCTTGGATAGTCATTTGAAGGTCACATAAAGATTACCTTCAATTTCTTAAATGGAACCCCCTATTTTTCATTGCATATTCTTGTAGCTTATCTCGAGAGCTTTCCAAAACACTATAATTAAGTACCTTTTTATTAAGTACTTTTTGAGTTATAAGGCTTGAAATAATTTCTTAATTTTACATAAACCATAAAATATCTAGTAAACCATTCATTTTTCGATTATCTTACCTTCATACTTTTATGTACAAAATAATGAGAGGAATCAATTGGTGTAAAGAAAACATACAGTTGTTTTTAAGAAAAAATATGGAATTGTTAATTGCAAATTACATATCTTTTCTTAGAAACAACTGTGTTTTCTTTACACCAATTGATTCCTCTCATTATTTTGTACATAAAAGTATGAAGGTAAGATAATCGAAAAATGAATGGTTTACTAGATATTTTATGGTTTATGTAAAATTAAGAAATTATTTCAAGCCTTATAACTCAAAAAGTACTTAATAAAAAGGTACTTAATTATAGTGTTTTGGAAAGCTCTCGAGATAAGCTACAAGAATATGCAATGAAAAATAGGGGGTTCCATTTAAGAAATTGAAGGTAATCTTTATGTGACCTTCAAATGACTATCCAAGGTCAAATCTAAGGTCACCGTCGGATTGCCCGGGAAAAATCCTACAACTTTTGTCTCAAACTTTTTTCTCCAAAGTGCATTCCTCCACAGTTATTTGGCCGTTTCCATACTTTTGGATCACCCTGTACAATCTAATTAAAAGTAGAAGTAAATTTTTTGGGATTAATTATTATTTTGTCTAACCTTGAATAATCTTCTCCCAATGACAATAGAGATAGAATTAGGAAGGGTTATATTTGCAAATTCATAAATTACTTGACCGTGAAATTATTATTAGTGCCTCACGGTAAACGCTGGGCTGCATTGCGGTGGCGGAATCGCCGGAACAAACACGCTAAGGGGGAACAGCCTCAAACCACGCCGGAATTCCCCCATCACGATAGATCGAATAGTATTAGTAACCTTTCGCTCAATGATAACACACATTGTGACACTAACACACATTCACTCAACAAAACCCCCTCGATCCCTGCGCCTAGCTACTCCCCTATCTCCTCCCCAGCGCCTTCCCCCTTCTTCCCCGACACACCTAGAGCTCATCACCATTCTCTGCGTCACCTCAACGATCTCCTATCCCTATTTTACGCGAACCTTCTCCCTCCTCCCTCACCTTTAATCCCTCACCTTTAA